GGGGACTGATCATCCCGATCCTGCCAGGGTAAGGCCTAGCAGGCATACTGGGTTCTCTTGGGTGTGGCCACCTCAGTGTGAACTAGGTTCTCCTGGGCCGTCTCAGCTATTGTACCCCATCATTTACCTTTTCCCAGTAGCATGGCAGTGGGTTCAGAGGCTTTTCCTGTGTGTGTGTGTGTGGGGTCAGGGTGACCTCCATAATTTTATTGAGAGTTGGGTTAAATCAAAAGCAGCAGAGGCAAAACTGGAAGTGCCCCCACTTCTTAGTGCTGCCACCATGTACCCCCTGGGGCCTTCTTAAGTACTGCTGGGGGTATGTGTACCCCTGGTTGACAACCCCTGCTCTACACAGACCAAGGCTGCACCGCAGAGCCATACAACGGATATAGGTCCATGCACCCTAGCTTCAGACCCAAAAGCAGTATAACTGAATTAACATAATACTGTGCTTAGGCTGAACCTCGTAGCCAAGACACTGTGTTGTGCTGATACAGTGGTTCCCAACCTTTTTTTGCTGCGTCCCGCTGCTGGGAGCAGAGTGTGGTGGCAGCAGAGGAGCTCCTGGCACCTGGTGCGTCTCATTCTTTGTGTGCGGCACCGCCAGCATTGCCCCCGCAACCTTCATTTGGGTCACGACTCAAGGTTGGGAACTGCTGTGCTAATACATCTATACTGATTCCAGAATTAATGTGCATGGAGCTACTTGAGGATCTCCCTATGGTGTTGCCTTTTGCTGTGTATCTTAACATCTGCAACACTCAAGCAACATAAGTCTCCCTCAGTTGTCAACCCCCCCCCGCCACATTTCTTTCTTTTTCTTTTTTTTTTTTAAATCAAAACCTCTTTTTGTTTGGTGCCAGAAAAAGCTAGCAAATTCAAGTAAAATTGAATAAACTGACTTTGCTGGAGTTATACCTGCACAAGGCCACTGTCAAGAACTACAGAAATCTTCATTCTATAAAATACGACCATCGGTTCTGTGACAACTGGGTCTCCCAAATATGAACAAATGCTATTTTTAATAAAGCAACTTAAAAAAAATATGTAGGACAATAAGCAAAAATTACTTAAAGGAAAGATCATCTGCTTCCACACTTAAAATGCCTTTTCTTCTACAGTTCTCCATTTTGACTGTCTTCACCAATACACTCAGTGTCACACTAAGAAAAAGGCCAATAATGTACAAGGATGATGAGGAAAAGAAGATTTCTGTTCTTTAAATAACTGACTGTTCGGAAGTGTGGTGCCCAAGCAAATTATACCTCCTTTCATTTATGCTTATTTGTCTTTAGAAGCATGCAATTAGTGAAGCATATGCTAAAAAAGATGCTAATAGGAACTCTCTTGTATGGTATCTGTTTTCACAGTGAAAAAGTTGGAGTCAATATGCATATCAAAGAGTGACCTTTAAGGAGAAAATTATTCTAATATAATGTAACTCAGTGTTATGTTAAAAGGGGAAGGAGTAAAACTGACAATCTAGTTTCTTTCCAAAATATCTCACCTTCTACACTCTCTCCTTTTTCAGCCTCATTTCCATCTTCAAATCCTTGTAAAGTGCCCAAGTCTTTTTCTGTCCTTTCCTTCTCTGAAGTTGCAGTGTCCCGGCAAGCCCCATCAAACTCCTTTTCATGATCTCTGTCCAGTTTGGGTTCACTGTGTTTTGTTGACTCTTTCTGAGATGAAATGTCAAGAGTTCTGTCTCTGTCTCTTTCTGTAGTATCAGGAAGCTGCCTCTCGCGCTCTCTCTCCATCTCTCTCCTTTTTTCCCTCTCTCTTTCACGCTCCCTGATTCTATCACGGTCCCTGTTCCGTGGCCAATCTTTATCTACATCTCTGTCCCATTCTCTCTGCCTTCCATCTCTCCTTTCTCTTTCTCGTTCACGATCATGCTCGTGGCGATCTCGATCCTGAAGCCTCTCCCTGCTATCAAAGGACCCAGATCTAGAATGGACCTGCCGATCCGATTCGGGAGAACTTCTTCTTGAACTGTGACTTCTTGAATCTTGACGATCTGAATAAAATATTTTAAAAAGACGCAAAATTAGAGCAAGTAAATGCTGTATACATTTAGCTGCACCAAAGTAGGCAAAATCCAACCCTGTAAAGCCTATGATATCAAAATTGATCTTTGAAGCTGTCTGAATATTACATGTTAAGATTAAACACAATCTTAAAATGCCTTTCTAAAAATCACTTATATGTATCTGATCGTCTTCAATTTCAATCTTGGCAAGTCTTATTCTACAGACCAAACATTTTTCAGTAGCTACAACACTACCTTAGAAGCTAGAAACATTGTCATGTTTTGCCTCTTTAAACAAGAGGGAAAAAAACTATGCAATCACTTTTAAAAATCTGCTATGTTAAAATGCAGTAAAGCTTGTATTATTATCATTTGCTATCCAAGAAAGATGCTTTTTATACCATTTGCTTTTCACAGACTGAACTGTTATCATAAAACTATCAGGAGAAGTTTAAAGTCGGGTTTCATGAAAAAAAAAGTAGCCTAAATGGAAAAAAAAACCCAACGAAAATAGTGAAAGCAGAAGAATCCTAATAAGGAGAAACAAAATCTTATCTGGATTTTTCTCCTGAATGCTGGTATCAGAAACCTTGTCAGAGGCAATCTAAGTATTGATCTGGAATTAAAAGGATTTTTGTTGTTGTTGGGTTTATTTGTTTTTTGAGATGGGGACCATGTCTCTTCTTTTGTCTCTGCCACAAACTTCTGGGTAACTTTCACTAAATTTAGGCCCCCTCTACACATTACATGTACTACATAATTACCTGGTTAATTGTAGGCCTATGCGAGTCGGCAGCGATCCGATCCGGCTTCGGATCCAGCCGCTTCGGATGGCAGCAATCCAATCCGGAGCTCTGGACCGGGCTTCCGCCTCGATCCGGCTGAAGCGGCTTCAAAGCCGCCTTGGGGATCCAGCCATAATGGGGGAATCAATTAAATATCTGTAACTTTGTTTTTTTGTCCGGTTTGGATGAAACTTGCAGGGATGGTAGCCTCTGCTAAGAG